GGTTGTTGTGCTTGGATGAATCATCCAGCTACAAAGTCAACGGCCGGCTGCATACTGTCCGGACAGTATCGAGTGCTGCTATCAGTTTATTTCTTTTTCGGGGAACGGAGGGAGAAGACTCGTCTCAGGTTTGCAAAACTAACAGGTGCGGCCGGACTGGACGGACATGGAAGCCGGCCGGTTCCAGCTGGATGGATCACAGCTAAGCAATGGAGTGGTTAAAAAAATAACACTCAACCTCAAAACAAGTACCACAATTACCGAGTATTAAACATGACATTAATTCTTTTGTTTTTTTCAAGTAAATGGAGAGTTTGTAGCCAGTTTGGATCCTCTCCCAGAGTCTGCCATCTGCATGAACCAACACACAGCAGCCACTAATCCATCCCGCAGACTGAATCCAGGTCAGTGACACGCCAACACCATGTCACCGTGTTTTCTCCTTTGTCTGCTTGCGGTTTGGCGTTCAAAACACCGACAGTGATTAAAACGTACCGTTTTTCCATCTTGATACACAACATTTGCTCTAAAATAAAAATAACTTCCCATTTTTTTATTGACATACCCTCATTTTTACATGCTGCTTTGTAATAAGGAGCAGTGACGTAGGGATTTGGTCCCTGTCCATTCAAACCAAAGTGGCTCCTACATGCATCTCCACTATTTTATCCGACACCTTGCAGCTCAGGTGCAACATTCGGAGCTCATCTGGGGACGAGCTAGAGCTTTTTTCTCAATGCTAAAACCACGTCCCTTTTCAGGTTGCTAAGACAATCACTGTGTGTGCTTTACATGGGTTTAACTCTTTGGTCTTCTGGGTTATACAACCAGGGCAGACCCTTTCCCATCATGTCAGCCTGTCTCCTCATCTTTACAGCCACTCTTTTTTGCAGGTTTTGTTTTCTAGTCATGTCTAAGTGCTCATAAACTTATTTTCGTCTTTTAATTTGTATGGTCCTTGCTTGCGGAACAGCCTCCCTGAGGATTTGAAAACTTAAAACACACCTTCTTAGTAAAGCTTTTAATTGTGTTTTTGGTTAGTGTAGGTAAATCTAGTTTTAAGTACTTATTTAATACTTTTATCAAACCGACTTTGTTTTGATTCTTAAACTGCACATTTTGTATTCCTATTGATTGAATAGAGTTGAATTGATTTCTATGACACATGATCTTATTTCACCCTATTGTAGTTATTTCATGCTATTTTAGGTTTCCCAATACTGTCAGTAAGGACAGTGACAGTATTTTTACTTTTTTAAAGATAATTGTTCTCGTTTCTTTATTGAATAGGACACTCTTGGTTAATGGATTTAAGAAGGATTTATTCTTCTTGAATCACGTTTGTTTTTACACCATATAAAGCACTTTGTGTTGCAATTTGTTTCCACGAAAGCGCTTAAATTAAGATTGATTGATTGATGGAGGAGTTTGTATTTTCTCTCTGTGTCTGTGTACCCCGCTTCTCGCTTTCTTAAATTAAAAATAAATAATGCCAAAACTGTATTCTTATTCTAATGAGCTTACATTGCCTTTAAATGTTTAACAGTGTCTTAGAAAGTATTTTATCATTGTATGCATGTTGTTGCTTTTTGACCAGATGTTTGCATTTCTTTTAGAAAGAGGAGGAAAATTAGCTCTTTTGGAATTGCTCCTTAAAATCTAATAAACACTAAATATTGAAAATCAGAAATTCAGTTTCTGGAGTACCATATTAAAAAATTATGTTAAACTGTGGAATCACTGTGCCATGTAGGGGTTGGATGTTACTGATCAGTAAGTAATAGACCTAATAACATTTCTTGTGCAATAACACTGTTAAAATCACTGAACCTTATGCACAGACAGGCAATTTCTGTGACTTCGTCCAGCAACTCTTGGAAGCACAGCTCCATTTTGTTTTCTGCTTAACGCGTACAATCAAAATCCAAAGATACTTGGAAACAGCCTATGCTATGGTAAATCCACCATAGGCTGGCAGCAATCCTAAACATCAGTACAGTGTTTTTCTCGTTGCGCGAAAGCTGGAAGGAACCGATTGTGATCCCTGCAGTGTTTTTGAGGGGCTTGTCATACAGAAGCACAGCATGCTGTCTGCATGGAAATGAGACTTGTTGGTGGCCACTGGTGTCACGCAGCTGACTGAGTCACCGCGGTAATTAGTTTAATGTCAAGTGTTGAGGCTCAGCCTTCAAGGTTGTTGATGTTGTTAGAGGTGTACGAGTGCATGAGGCATCACTGGCCGGAAATAGAAACTAGAAAGAGAAAACGAGGTAATTTTGTCTTCGAGAAAAGAAAAAAAGGGTTTGAGAAGTGTGCATGTTAACATGGATGGTTATGAGGTACCATCACGTGGCCATAGCAAAGCTTCTGAAAACTGCATCCTCTCACACATGTGATTCTCCTAGCTTGATACACTTGCTGCAGGGATGCCATGTTCCTTCTGTTCTTTAATGATGGATTTAATCTCACTGCCATTCAATTTTTGTCTCTTGGCTTTTTCAAGTTCTTTCTTTTTCCTGGAAAGCAAAACCATCTCCACAGTGTAATTTCCACAATGGTGTTCCATTACTCTCTGCCTTTATTTCCTCCTGCTGGGGGAATGACTCTCCAGCAGAACACGGCGTGCAACAATGTCCATATTTGAGCATCAGAGGTGGAAAAAGTCCAAAACAAATGGTCCACACATTTGGCTGAACACATCTGGTTGTGTAAACACACAGATCGACTTCTCTGAACAAAGCCTGTGACCTGTGAAGGTATCAAAATATCTCTCAATTCTGTCACTCAACCAGGTATTTCAAATGGAAAGTAATAGGTAATAGTAAAAAAGGCAGTGACAAGGACCAAAGGTTCATAATTTTATTTATACTTCTTAATGTGTTCTGTACTTTAAATTAATAAGACTTAGAAAAACACACAAAAAAAAAACCAAAAAGCCTCTACAAAGCCTTTCTCCTTGCTTTTATTGTAAGTACTTCAGGTAGTCAACTTCACCCAAGCATCACATTGACGATAACACTCTGTGACAACCTGAAGACAGTGTGTGTCTAATGTTAAACCTCGTGGGAGATGCCCAACATTCTCCCCACTTCATCTTTTGTGTGTCGTCACTGGTGCAAATGGAATTGTTTGAGCCAGACTGAAAAAAAAGGTGGTCTACAGTGAGCCTCCAGCGGGGACCAGAAAAATGTGCTTCTCTGGTCAGGCTGGCTCATCCTGTAAATTGAACATACAGTTTAGTGTTAATTTTCAGAACGCTCACATCCTGCTGTGAGATGTACAGCCAACAAATCAATCTAAAGCAGCGAACAGGTAAATATTTCCTAAGTCTTTTTAAAAGTGATGAGACTTATGCTGTCGGATGGACAGCATTGGGTTGGTTCAACTCAGTCAGAGTTTTAAAAGGGGTAACTGAAGCCATTCTTGCTAAAATATCTTCTATTATCACAAAGTGTTCTGGAAATTCCTGTTCAAATATGGTTTAAACAAGGACCTTTTTGTGTAGCTCCTTATCTATTTGTACCTGTATCTGTTCTTACAATATCAAGATATAAAGTTTATCTCTGGAGGGGCTACAAAGAAAACATTTCCCAGGGCACCCTGTAGTTTGCAGCTTATATTGGGTTTGGAGGACATGAAACTGGAGAAAGGTTGCTGATGACATTTAATCCATTCAATAATAACAAATCTCAAAACATGTTGAAACAGCTTCACAGACAAACCCCATTCAGACCTATGTCAAAGGTACTTCCACCTTTAAAGATGATGTTAAATAAAAACGCAAATTTAACATGAACACAATCAGGAGGTTTGTCAATTTAAATGATTTTTTCAAAGGTAATTTCATGTTTCTACTTGATTAAAAGGCTGAGAAAGCGGTAAGCCTTCATCCAACAGTTGATTTTCCTGGGATATCCTCGGGTTTAAGATTAATTTTGCTCAAAAGTAACCCAGTTTAGCCCTGACAGCTCAGCAAAAAGTACCCGAGAGTCTCAGCTTGAACCGTCCCAGTTTATTTAACCCGACACACCGAGAAAAAAGACAGAAAGAAAGAAAGAAAGGAAAAGATGCCATTTCTAATGAGCAGGTTTGACAGTCATACAAATGGAGGCAGGATCTCTTTATTACATTTCTTCTGGCAGGGATAAAACCAGGCTGACGCTCAGAGGATGCGGAGTTGCGCACAGCTGCGCTCGCGCAGCGTCTTCCACGCGCGCACGACGGAGGCAGAAGGTACAAAAACCCGAGGGCTCGCACATGAACCTGCGTGGGAAGGCTGGGGACTGTTGAGAAAACAGGAGGACGGCTTTTATTTCACGGGCTGCCGAGCGCCTTACAAACACTTTAACAGGGAGATGGACGACCACCGGACCTATTTTTTACCTTATGTGACCATTGTCTGACCTGAAGAACATTATCCATTCTGCTGCATCTCCGGTTCACGTGAGTGGAATACTATTATTTCTGATTTTACAGCAACATAAAACATTCTCTAGCGCGTGGTCATGTCTGCTGAAATCTGATGCGTCTGCGTGTGTTTTAAAAGGGTTAATCCCTTTATTTTTAATGAAGACAAATATTAAGACAAATGCAAGATGTGAATAAGATTAATTGATATTGTTTAATTTGTGGATTTGATCTTTGCATTGAAACCCAAATGAGGATACAAGAAGCTACAAGTAGTTTGATCGCATACAACTTAAAAGCTGATGAATTTAGAAGTTTGGTTGGTGAATGTGAAAAAGCTCAAAATGGGTCTTCATCTTTTGTGGAGGTGATGTCACTTTGGTGCATATTTAATAGTCCCCAGACTGTTATATATGCACCTAATGCGATTAGTTAAAGGCAACTGTCCTTCCACCTCAGTAAGCATCCCAGATATGCCCTATGCACCAGCCTGCTTTATCCCTGCTACTCACCAAACTCTTTTTTTTTTGTCCAACTGTACGCATATAACTGCTTTTTTAAACCAGTTTGATTTAATGTATCTTTCTCTCCACATGGCAACACAACTCCAGCCTCTTTGCGGCCGCACAACATGCCGACTCCTCGTTGAGGGGCTGAAAATGAACGCCTCCTCCTCCTCCTCCTGCTGCGGTCCTCATCCCCTCATGGTGTATCAGCACGGCTCGGGATCCGATGTCAACGCCAGCTGTGACTGGCCGGCCCCTCGCTGCAACTGGACGTCGGCCGACGGGGCCCCGCGGCTGCCGACCTTTTCCACGGCGGCCAAAGTGAGGGTGATCGTCACCTTCATCCTGTGCGGGATTTCCACGCTCTGCAATCTGGCCGTGCTCTGGGCGGCCAGCGGCCACAAGCGCAAGTCCCACGTGCGCGTGCTGATAGTCAACCTGACGGCGGCGGACCTCCTGGTCACCTTCATCGTGATGCCGGTGGACGCGGCGTGGAACATCACGGTCCAGTGGCTGGCGGGGGACTCGGCCTGCAGGCTGCTCATGTTCCTCAAGCTGCAGGCCATGTACTCCTGCGCCTTCGTGACGGTGGTCATCAGCCTGGACAGGCAGTCGGCCATCCTCAACCCTCTGGCCATCAGCATGGCGCCCAAAAGGAACAGGATCATGCTGACGGTGGCGTGGACAATGAGTGCTCTGCTCTCGATCCCTCAGGTAAGGTCACGTGGCAGCAGTGAGAGGATGTTGTTTTTGTGGAACATGAATCAGGAGTACAGGATGCATTTTGAACACCATTCCTGCATTAGGCTCTCCCACCCGATTTACATCTCCTGTCTGATGTACTGCATGAGGAGCAGGTTGCAGGTTGTGGCCTGGGGAACTCTGATCATGGATAACAACACGAGCTATAAGAAAATTAAAGTTGACGTTACATTTGTATGGAGGTATATGTATCAATTGTTAATACTCTTTGTACCTTAATGGAAAATGACACTGTCTTGCTCTACTGCAAAGATAACCCATGTGTCTCACTCCCTGTGGGCTTTAGATGAACGCACATTCATCGGCATTCTGCTTGATGTGGAACGATATTCTTGCCAGAATGGGGAGTCCTTGTAATCAGAAATTCATTGTTGGGTTGGAGTTACGACCGTGGCCTCACAGTAAGAGGAGACGGAGGGCCTATCCATGTGGAGATTCTGTAGGTTCTCTCTGGGTACAGCTGCTTTTTTTAATCATAATTCAAAAGGAAATTGCCCCAAGGAGTGAGACTGATTGTGTGTGATTGTTTCTGTGACCCCAACTCTCGCCCAATGGCAGCCCCCCCTGAGATCAATCAAACTCGGTGCAAGCCTTTAGGCAGTTAAAATATTCATTGGATCACTTAATGTGTGATTTACTATGCATTTATGAACATAAAAGTTCACTGCAATTTTTTAGTATAAATGGGTGGACATAAAACTGCCTATTAATATAGGAAAATGCATATTTGCAAAACTAAGCTTTTTGGAGACATTACTTTTATAGACAATTTTGACATCCATGCCAAATTAATCTGCTGATTTTAGAATGGTTTGAATGTTTCTTGTTATTTATTTAGTCTGGAAACTTTTATGACTTTATTCGCCTCTTTTTACATACATAAATCACTTTTAAGTGTACTGCTGCCATCATATTCCACATTGTTACAAAGAATTAAAAACATGTTTAAATTTGTGTTGGATTCCAGAGACTTCACAACTACTATATGCAACTACAATTATAGCCCTTATTTAAACTGGCAGTTGGAATCAGTTGGATGTACAACAAACAATAACACAAAGATAAAAATAAAGATAAAGGTGCATTCTAAATGTTTGTTTTTCACAACCTTAATGGTTCAGCATTGACACTCTAAAGGCAACCCTTGCTCTACTGGGTGAGACCAGGGAAAGACTAATGGAGATCTTCTTCTGGACAGAAAACAACTAAATTGGTATTGATTCCAAGAGGTAAAGTATCAGCCAGACTTTAACTGGGAGAAACATGTAGGAGTGAAGTGTGTCTATAAGAGGTGAACTAAGACAGTCCTAAACACAACTTCAAAGGCCTCATCATTTACCCTCACATTTGTAGCAACCGATTGTGCAACATCTCTGAGATGGTAAACAGAAGAGATGAGACTTGGCAGTGACGCTACACTTGACCTTGCAGCTACAGTATCAGCACATAAAGAAAAAAAAGTGTGTATTTGTCTGCAGGTTATTTGTCATAGCAGTCTACCACAAGCCTGGAAGTCCATGGATGTAGTCGATCTTGTGCAGACATTCAGTCGAAATGCAGAAATCTTCCCAAACATGCAGTAAATAAGCAGAACATCTGTCGGGAGACGTGGATTTGTTTGGATTTCTTGTCAGTAATATAGTTATATATGTCATATAGAATCAAAGAAACAGAGTTCTGAATACATTTTAGGGTGAACAGATAGGTGGTGCCAATTAGAACAGGTGAAAGTTTTGTAAACTGAAGAGACAATACAGGAACTATATCCAGAGATAACAAACAAAAATGGCTTAAATGAAGACTAAAACACATCAGTTCAGCACGGGGTTCTCCTTTCTTTTGCACAAAAATAGTGGATCACATCTTCAGTCCGATGCAGAAAAAATCTAAGATGTGTCCATTTTCGATCCCACAGCTGTTTATTTTCCACAACGTGACCATCACCTACCCTGCAAACTTCACTCAGTGCACCACCCGAGGGAGCTTCGTCTCGCACTGGCAAGAGACGGCCTACAACATGTTCACCTTCTCCTGCCTCTTCCTGCTGCCGCTGGCCATTATGATCATCTGCTACACGCGGATCTTCATCCACATATCCAACCACATGACAAAGAAGATCTGTAAGTGTGCAAATTCCATCTGCTTTTCAGATGCCTGAACATAGACAAACACCAAGCACAACAAGTCTCTCCTGTTCCACCTTATGATTATCACCTCCCCTGCAGGTTTTTGCCAACTGCATTACGTAAGCAAGGGCCTTCTACATGAAACTCAGTTTAGCTCCGCGATACACCAGGGCAGAAAATGATTTTTGTCAGACGATCTACACATAGACATGCGTGGGCGGTAAATCCAGAGATAGACGCTTATTCATAAATCTCAGTGACTTATAGATGCATATTTGTATTTTGGAGAACTATTCAGAGGGCTTGTATGAAGAAGTAGGTTTAATGGTGTGATGATTGTAGTAGTCATTTTCCAAATTCCAGCAATTCCAAATTGCTGCTGTACACTAGCCTCCTTTAGGTTCATCAATGTCTCAAGTTTGTTTTTATCAAACTGGCCAATGATCAAGTCTCTATAGATGCTCATTTATCCAAAATCCACTGAACACAGGTTCAGTTTGGTTAGAAAACCTGAAGACTTTACAATTCCAAACTGAACGCCTTACACCTCTTCTTTTTCTTTGGATCATGTAAGCTTACGCTCTATGTACTGTCCTGTGTTGATGTTTCCCTTTAATATGTTAAAAAAATATATTTATAATATAAGGTTTGCATCACATCAGCACAGGGTGCCCTAACTTTAATTTTTTAGGTTACAAAATGTGCGCAAAGATAACTTTCTGGACCCAAATCCCCAAAATATATGTACCCATTTGACTTGCAGATTGTAATGAAACAAAACTGGAAAAACTACCACAGAAGTTGTTGTTTTTTCAAAGGCACTGTAATTGCCTTGAATCCTGATTGATGCCCTGATTGATGTGTGTAGAGAAAGAAAATGTCCAATTATTATTATGCATGTAATTATTCCATAGGGTGTCGCATGCCAGAGATATTTGTCTGATGCTAAGTTTGTATGTTTATGTAAATTTAATTCACCAAAATATTCATTTTAATATTTTTATCCAAAATAATGTCAATGGTCATATAGTTATCAAAATTCTCCATCTTTTCTCCAGTGTCCTCTGATGAACCACACCTGCGTTGCTCAAAGAACAACATCCCCAAAGCCCGAATGAGAACTCTGAAAATGAGCATAGTCATAGTGATTTGCTTCATCGTGTGCTGGACTCCGTACTACCTGCTGGGTCTGTGGTACTGGTTCTTCCCCGACGACCTGGAGGGAAAAGTCTCTCACTCCCTCACTCACATCCTCTTCATCTTTGGGCTTTTCAACGCTTGCCTGGACCCCATCATCTACGGCCTGTTCACCATAAACTTTCACAGGGGGCTGAGAAACTGCTGCCGCAAAGCCACCATCATGTCCGGCCTGAGATCGGCGAGGGATTCGGTGAAATGCGCTTCGGCTTCCTCTCCCTCTAAAGCGGGAATGGCCACGGGTCACAGAGACAGCAGCTGCAGACAGACTGAGCTCAAATCCACTCACAGCAGAGTCTGACTGAGTTCAGTCGGAGGAAAAGGAAGAGTATCAGTGCAGCACCGAGAGCGAAATATGATGAACTAGACAAGAGGTCGAATACAGTTTGATTGTCTTGTCAAAGAGTCTCCTTTTTTTAGTCATTTCATTGAAATACTCATTCCACAATCAAACTAATTCTGCACAGAGTTTGATCAGTCACTTGGTAAATGGTGCTTGGGGCTGTGTATCTAACAAGATTACATAACGCCTTTATGAAATCAGTGAAAAATGTCTTGAGCTGCTTGATTGGTTTGTTTGGGTTGTGTAACTGGTCTCCATTTTAAATCTGATACTGTATATACAATATAGGGGTTCTGGGTCTGCAAAAAGCATCAGAAACACGATAAATGCTGCATTTTGGGAGCAGAATAATCTGTTGACAGAGTAATCTGCTGCACATCTGCCAGAGAGGACACAATTAGACTGGCAACCTTTTGAAACGTAATTCAAACCAAGCAAGGACATTGCTCTGGTCTGCAAACCCAACGGTCTTTCCACTTGAAATCCTGCAAAACTGATAATGGAATCTTTCTGTAAATGCACTCTATTTGTAGTATAACATTGTTGTTTCTGCCACTTCAAGAGAAAATGATATGACATGAAATGTTAATTGTTATATTAAACTGGACCTCATATTTGATGATTTTACTTAATAGACTTTTTTACACCTCAATCAGTCTCAAAGTTGATTAAGTCCTGTTTGCCTCTTACTCCCAAATTTAAAAAAAAAACGTCTTTAAAGTAAAACTTGCTTCTAAAGACACTGAAGGAGTTTGAATCAGTTCTCTATATTACAGTCAGTTATTGCTATTCCTTGTATCATACAGCCATCAGTTAAATTTGATAAAATGAGCCTGCGGGTTTGTACTTTGATTTACTGTTCAGGGGTCCCCCAAAAATGAAGAAGTTAATTACTTAAAGTCAATTTCTGCTTCGAAAGTAAGAGCTGTTTGTATCCCACATTTGCCACTTTTCAAGCCAAGATTTGAAATTTTCTTAAAAAACGTGTACCATTGAAGGAAACTACATAAAAGAAATTAAAAAAATAGATTTCTGTAAAAGATCCACTTAAGAGAATTATAGCATGGAAAAATCAAACAGTTATCATTAATATGGTAATTGTGATCAAAGAACTATATATGTTGTTAAAAGGGATTGAAATCAGTCTTTTGCTTTTATAATATATATACATATTTTCCATTTTACATCACAGTATACTTAGCAACTAAATATTTACTAAAAAAAGAAACTGTTAAAGGGGATGTGTTGTGGACATTTTCTGGTCCCTTTCAGTTTATAATCTCAGGTCTTCTAGATTTTGTTGGCACAGTTCATTACTCCAAACAGTCATACTGTAACAAACAAGGGAGATTTTTTTTGGTCCTTTTGCTATTTTAGTGTTGGAACAACTGTGACATTCAGCAAGGTAATCCTCGTGTCAGTGAAGTAGAAAACCAACCCAGGCTTTTCCCGGCTGTGTTTCTGGTCAGGACATCATACTACACCCACTGACTGTCAATTGTTAGATTGTTTGTGTCTTCATGGAAACTAAAAAGGACTCCTTTATATAAATACACATATGCGCATGTATATAGATAGACATTAATCCATGGATATAAATAAATATTCATTCTGGGTTCATCTTTCATCAGGTTCTTCAGCAGAGTCAGTTCTGTCTCAGTGAACTGCATCGCATTAGCATAAAATGATGTTGTCTTGCACTAGAGAGGGCTGAAAATCATGTGTCCATAATGTGCATCTGATGTGTCCTTCACAAAGAAAATGAACGTGAACACATTGAGTTCAACATCAGAATTTTGGGCAACACAGGCAAGCTCAAGGTTGAGCAGAAGGCCAAAGGTAATAAAGGTTGGATGGATTGTTTTCAGTACTTAAGCAGTGAATTTATTTAGTTTAGTTTTTTGGACAGACTATTTGAATTACTGTTTGGCACTTGGGAGGAAATTGAATACATCTTCTGCACACTTGAGATTTTGTTTGCGTTTCTTCTTCCCATTTTACAGAAATACTAGCATTACTCCCTCTATGCTCAGTAAATACTAGCTGTTTGGATAAAATATTCAATGAAAAAAAAAGGATCAGAAACAGCTTTCCGTGTGTCACAGTGTATGCTCCAACTCCACTCATATTGGTTTAGTCAGCAAAATACAAACATAAATTATAGTGTATTGATAATTTTTAACATTTGCCGTGATCTTGGGGAAATAACTGGAACAGTGAAGCAGCCAACAAACCAATGCTGATAAAACGTAACTATTCATTCATTAATCTTTCTGAAAAAAAACATTCTTAAAAACACCATTTGAGTCGTCTAATTTCAGCACGCAAATTAATTTTGAACTGCGTCAAGTAACTCTGAATGCAAAGGTGCAAATCTTTTTCAGAGAGTTAATATTTTCAACTTAGCCGAAATAGCTCAGAGAAAGGTATTCAACAAGCTATGTAAATATATTTTCGCCTGACATATTTCCAGTGAGTTATCTCTGGTTTTGTTGTGAAAAAGATTATTCAAATCGCTTTTACGATGTCAACCGAAACGCGCATGAAAGTTTCCGCTGCCTCGAGAATGAATGCTGACTTGGCCAGAGATTTGACTTTAACGTTCTGTGCTCACGTTGTTGTCATCTTGCCACAGTATCAGTTGGTCTGACTCCTCTGGACACCCTGAAGCTGGATCTGTGTTAGGACAACAGTCAGCACATCTGGTCAAGGGTAAATTAAATGACATAGCAGCCTCTGGCTTGATGTGTGAGGGATATGACCCATGACTAAACTGCTCTTGTTTTTCCTCTGTCCACCCGCGGATTCAGTTTATGATCAAGCTGACTCTGGCACAAAGATCGGACTCTAGAAAGGCCTTTGATACAGACACTGGAATACCATTAAATGTACGATCACTGTGCAGTTTGACCAGAACCTGGAAAGCTGTGCATGCCCACTTATAAGACTGAGACCATGAAATTGTTACAACGTACAAATGATAAGAAAGCAACTTGATGATGGAGAATACTCCACTTTTTTTCTGCATAATCCACAACATTCCTCATTTGGCAATTTGACAAAGGCGGAAAATGGCAGTCCATGTTAAATGTCTGTTATTTCCCTCATAGACCAAGAGCAATAAGACATTTCTGCAATGATTTCACAACAGGACCAGATACAGGGTCAATCTTCTGTATGCGCTGATGTTTTAAAGTGCTAAACAAACCAGTTGCTCTAATCACATCCAGCCTCCCTGCGAAACCTCCCATGCCCACTTGAAGGCTCATTCAGAGGCTGCAATCAACTGAATGTTTCGTTCAATAGCCTTAACCGTTTCCAGCGGCCCTAATGGGGCAAACAGGAAAATCACAGCGAGGCTCAAATTAGTCGGAAAAATGCACTCACGGGCAAAAAGCAGCAGCAAGTGTACAAGGTCATAAAAGAGACGTGCTGAGCCCATGACTCCCCACACATTTAGCACGGGGACTTATCCAAAGCTTGCAACAACTTCAGCTGTTTGTCAATAGATGCTTTTTCTGTTGCAGCAGAGCATAAAGAGAAGGCTTGAGGCAAGAGTTCCTGAACTTTGCTTTTCTAATCAAGCGCACGGTCAATTGTTTTTAGCATTCTGAAATGATCATTTGGGAGTCAAGACGTGACTCGTCTGAAAATGCTTTGTGAAACATGTTGTGTCATATGTTATGTTATGGTTGATATCCTGGTCAAGGATGTCAACTATACTGGAGTCAACAGTGTAACTGGTGTTGTAGGTTAATATTAAATCCTCTTTTTGTAACTCGCTAAGGATAAAAGCGTCTGCTTAAATGCATAAATGTAAATATGTAATCGTGAGCCGATTTTCAGTCACAGTTTCTGATGTGTTTTGCCAAATGACAAAAGAAATTGTAAGAGAGGATTATTGGAATTTCCATTGCAGCAATATTCCCTTACATTGTACTTTTTTGAACATAAATGTACAAAAGATGACACTTTTAAGCATGGAAGAACAGTTGTGGCATATTAGAGACATAGTTGGATCACTTATATTGAGTCACTCCACCACTTAATCTGGATATGTTAGCTTTGTTTAAGAAGCACTTGGAACAAATTCAGTCTGATTAACATATCCAAATGAATTTTTAAAAGTTTGGTTTCCCTCAAACTAACATTTTTTCTACTGTCGTGCAAATGTACTAGATAATGAATCATTGGTTAAGAGCCCATTTTGAACCTCAGAAAGGGTTGACTTGTAGAGGTTGGAAAGCACAGGGTTGTAGCAAAAAGCTCAAATTTACAAATGGATTGCCACCAAAATTCTAACCATTGAAGAAATTTTGGGATGTTTTTAGATGGCTAACATTACCGTCAAGCTGTCATCACTGCCAAAAAAAGAAAATCTACCAGCAAGCTACAAGTAAACAATTGATTCCTAGAGTGGGTTTTAACGATATTTGGACGGGGTATATATCACATTAATATCTACACACGTCCATAATAAAGGAACAGGACCTAAACATGTGAATTGCTACTTATACATGGGCAGCATTTATCCTTGCAACAAGGGTATTGTAAAAATAAGATGTACAAAAGTAACCACTCAATGTAATTAGATCATATATTCCTCGGAGCTGCACAGTGGCTAGCACAGTCACCCTTAAAGTAAAAAGGGTCTGTGTGGAGTTTCTGTGTGGTGTTTTTGTTTCACTGTGGGTTTTATTAAGTGATCTCTTCCTGTCCATCCGTTCTCTATACTGCATACTTCTAGTAGGGTCATGGGTAACTTCTTCCCACCTTGCAAAAACATGTTTAGACTAGCAGTATTCAGGGTGTAAATGTTTCTGATGCTCAAAATAAACATTGTTGCAGCTCAGCAGAAATCTAACCATATGTGGCGATGCTATAAGCACTTTCCATGAGGTCCTTGACCCTATAAATTCTACATTTAGAAAAAAGGATGGGGAAATATTTCTTTAATTTCTTTTCATTTATCTGGAGCAATAACAACGAGAATCCATGCTTTTTCCATGGATAGTTGGGGTGACACTTT